AGTTTGTGCTTTGGAATAAATAAAATCTAGAATGTTATTTTGGCATTTATCATTCTTGGTAGCTATATATGTCTTTGTCTGAATGGGTAAAATGAATAAAATTAACAACAGCAAGGTCCGCTTATGTCGATTCTAATATTTGGAGATGGGAATTAGCAAGAGTACGAATCCTCCATTAAAATTGTTATTGATCAATCTTTCAAAGATTATGATATTCTCATATTAGTGAAAAATAGCGAATAAGTACATTCAATTAGAAGATTCTTATATAAACAATACTAATCATTATTTGCCACCTAGATAAAATATCAGACAACTGAAGATTTAAATGACTTTACTTAAAAAATCGAATATTCTTTGAAAAAAATGAGGGGCCAGTTCATTACCCTTTATCATGTAAAAACAATAAGCTTTCCAGAAAGATTCAATCAATTATCAACTGTCTTGAGGAGTAACTAAATTTTAGCACTGGTGTCTGATCTCGAGATAAAAAATCACAAAAATGAACATTTATCAAATAAATAACCGATCTTGAGAGACTATAGTCGAAGTTTAAATAATATATTTTTCTCAGTTCAACCAGAATTAGAATTTACATTGACAATAAAACACTTATTTTTAGAAGAAATAGTTAAAAAATCAAGACATCTAAATAGATTTGAGATTCTTAAATAAATTCGCTAAAATGGAAACATTTTCTAAATACCTGACAAATTAATAAGCATGACCTTTGATGATTATAAGAAAAAGTATACAAACGATTTCGTCTTAATTCCATAAAATGATAATAGTATGTATTAACAATATAATAGGTACTTATAAAATAAAAAAGTCAATAATTTAACAAACCTTCAATTCTCTCAATTTCTCAATTGCTCATATGACTATCTTGCATGCGATAAATAAACTTAATAAATAGTTCAATATCTCTTGATAGATTCTTATCTTAGGCTAGAAAATCCAACCCAAGACATGTTGAAATCTATAAGAGAGAAAATGGTATAATTAAACCAGAATATTAGACATTAAGAGAGGGTAGCTAAGAATCCAAGTTATTTTCCATTAGTATCTGTTGTTATGGCAAGTCATGACAGAGACTACTTCTTCTTAGAAGCAGTTAGGAGTGTTTTCTAATTAACATATACCAACTGGGAATTGCTAATTGTTGATGATGCTTCACAAAATCCATTAACTTATAGCATTCTACATCTATTAGAATGGCATCCAAAGATAAGAGTTTCTTATTTAGATACGAACTGGTACTGCAGTTTTACTAATAATTTTGCTCTTGCTTAACTTAAAGGTGATTTTTTTGCACTCCTTGATGATGATGATATTATGGTAGAAGACAGACTAGAGAGATAGTTGTCTTATATGCAAAATTATCCTGAACTCGACCTGATTGGAGCTAATGGTTTGTTTTACAATGAAATTGGCAATTATCTTTACGGTTTGTCTAGTGACTATTTGAATCATTGGGATGTAAAAATTTCACTAGCTGTGTAATGCCATTTTACTCATAGTACTCTGATGGTGAGAATGAACAAAAAGATGAAAGAACATTTCTATTATGTACACAGCAGCGGACCAGACTATAGAACTTGGTTTAAACTTCTCTTTGATCTTGAGCATGAAAATATAAAGATGGGTATTTTACCTGGTTATGCAATAGCTCTAAGAGAACATGGCAAAAGAATGTCTTATGCAGATTATTTTTCTAGTATTCATATAGGAAATTGGATCCCTGCTAAGTAATCGGAAGCATACTTAAAGCTAAGCCCTAAAATATATGACATGATAAGCTCAGAATGCTTTTCCAGTGTTTATTTTCATTTAACTAGAAGATATATGCCTATTAGATCATGTGATGGCTTCGATATTGAAAAGATTACAAATGCTATACTAGAACATCAATAATCTAAATCATACTACTCATAAGCAGATATTAAAGAATTGAATAGTACTCTCTAAAAGTATAAACAAGTTTACAACTAAGCATAAGTGGAAAACTAAATAACTATTGTGCCTAAGAAAAAAATCCATGCCTGTATTTTCTACCATTAAAATGATGAGAGAGTACTTTAGTAAATTGAATCATTAAAAGATATCGTGGAAGAATTTATCATTATTTCTATTCCTGATGAATAGAATTTTGATGTAAGAAAAAGAGGAAGCAGTTTTAACGAGATAAATTCTATATTGAAAACCTAATACTAAACTTAAATTATTGAGGTTGAATAAAACTTTTACTCCCTTATAAATCATCAGCTGATATAAAGATTAACTGACTTAAATACTGATTAGCAAGACTACATTTTAATTTTAGGTCCAGGAGAATTTATTGATGCCAAATCAGTAATTAAATTTGAGAGAATGAGAATGTAATTTGGAATTTTCGGATTAAAAATCTTCAATGACACAAAGGTGCATACAAATGCTAAAATGACAAATATTTGGGTATTGAGAAATAATGGAATTGAATGGCTTAGAAACTATGAAATTGATCCAGATTTTTTTAAAATAGCTGGTGAACAAGTATTTGAAGATTAGATTATATCAGCAGTCTAT